TAAAGATAGGTTAGGTTAGGTTAGGTAGGGTTAGGTTAGGTAGGGTTGGTTAGGTTCGGTCATATATCTACGTTAATTTTATCTCCAAAAAAAAAAAAATTGACCTCATACATAAAGAAATGGGTAGCTTTATCATTTCATAAGAAAAAAATTAGAGAATATATATTAAGTTAGGAAAACTTGGCTTATTAGGCAAATCGGGCCTTGCATAGTAGGCTGAGAAGTGCGTTCTGGCTACTAGGTACGACATATATATATATATATATATATATATATATATATATATATATATATATATATATATATATATGCTTGAAACGACTATATTTAGAAGGGGTTAACGCTTGTTTACCTAGGTTTATACAAACAGTTTAATACAAACAGGGCAGTAAGCTAGGCCTATATTGGTCAATTATGTAGTTAAGGAAAAGTTAAGTGATCTTCAGGAAGTTTTATATCAAATAGTTACAAGAAAAAGGTTGTTTCAATATAAAGCCTGAAAATTCAGCATAGACCCTGAAAGTTCAGCGTTGACTCTGAAAAGTTTACCAAAGACCCTAAAAGTTCACCATAGAAATAAAAATTCAGCATAGACCCTGAAAAGTTCACCATAGAAATAAAACTTCAGCATAGACCCTGAAAAGTTTAGCATAGAACCTGAAAGTTCACCATAGACCCTGAAATGTTCACCATAGACGCTGAAAAGTTCACCATAGACCCTGAAAAGCTCACCATACACCCTGAAAAGTTTAAGCTTTCAAGGTCAACCACAAATAGCTCCATGATGTTCAGATATAAGATATAGCGTAGCCTTATCACAACAAAAAGGGCCCCCTGGATAGAGTCCTGTGGTAGGAAAGAGACCCCCTTCCCCCCCCCCCCCGGTTGCTTCCACCTGATGCCTCTGTTCACCGGGAAGGAAACAGGTACTAGGCAACTAACTTAATTATTTAGTGTAAAATCAGAAGCGATAGCAGCAGATAAACCGAGATAGGAGGATAATTGAAAGCGTGAATATGTTCGCATGTCTGTCTGTAATTACCCAAGGGTAATTACCTAAGTGTAATTACCTAAGTGTAATTACCTAAGTGTAATTACCTAAGTGTATTTTGTCCAGACTTCACCATAATCTTTGTCGTGGGAAGGTTCGAGACTCGCCTCGTAGCCTGGTGGGGGCCTCGTAGCCTGGTGGGGGCCTCGTAGCCTGGTGGGGGCCTCGTAGCCTGGTGGATAGCGCGCAGGACTCGTAATTCTGTGGCGCGGGTTCGATTCCCGCACGAGGCATAAACAAATGGGCAAAGTTTCTTTCACCCTGAATGCCCCTGTTACCTAGCAGTAAATAGGTACCTGGGAGTTAGTCAGCTGTCACGGGCTGCTTCCTGGGGGTGGAGGTCTGGTCGAGGACCGGGCCGCGGGGACACTAAAAGCCCCGAAATCATCTCAAGATAACCTCAAGATAACCTCGCTGCTATTTGGAGTCCACTGGGCCTTTGTCTATATAATTCCGCTCTGTTTATATAGACGAATTTATATTTCTCTGACGCTTTGTTTTCCTTGTATCTTTAGTCCCCGCTTCTGGTTACTGCTGTTTGTATTTACTATTTGTGTCTGCAGGGTCGAGTTGTTAGCTCCTGGACCCCGCCTTTCTAACCGTCGGTTGTCTAATGTACTGACTCACGATTTATTTTTCCTTTATGATATATCTAAGGCAGTCATACACATCCCCAGGAAGGAGCCCCCTAGCAGCTGTCTAACTCCCAGGTACCACTAGGTGAACAGGCGCATCGGATGAAAGAAACTATGCCCATTTGTTTCTGTCTTAAAATCATATTCAATTCTTATATTTCTCCGGCTACAGCCCCGCTCCTGTGCCAGGTAAGTCCACTACGGGCTCACCATAGCCCGTGCTACTTGCCAGGCTCCTGTGCCAGGTAAGTCCACTACGGGCTCACTATAGCCCGTGCTACTTGCCCCGCTCCTGTGCCAGGTAAGTTACGGGCTCACCATAGCCCGTGCTACTTGCCCCGCTCCTGTGCCAGGTAAGTTACGGGCTCACCATAGCCCGTGCTACTTGCCCCGCTCCTGTGCCAGCTAAGTTACGGGCTCACCATAGCCCGTGCAAATTGCCCCGCTCCTGTGCCAGCTAAGTTACGGTCTCACCATAGCCCGTGCAAATTGCCCCGCTCCTGTGCCAGCTAAGTCACGGGCTCACCATAGCCCGTGCAAATTGCCCCGCTCCTGTGCCAGTTAAGTTACGGGCTCACCATAGCCCGTGCTACTTGGAACTTGTTCCGAGTAGCTGAATCTATAACAACAACATCCGGCTATTACTGTCTACTAATCTGTTCATATGTTCAATTCTCAGAAAGATTTAATCCATATTTATTACCACAGTAAACACGACTATATACCATGACGACCTAGAGGTCAAAATTCCATGACTTTATCAAAAATATTTTCCTTCAGAAATTTTGAATGCATTTTCTCCATTGAGAATTTACCAAGGAATATTACATGTATAATATACCACTCTCATTATACATATGTATTGGATACATAAATTACCCAATGTGTCTGTATCATTAAATTAGAGTCGAAGGGAATTATGTTAATTGTTATTTAATTCCACGCTTGATTTAATTTCGAAAGGAGCGCTTTACAAAACTAATCTTTTGAATGGTTAATGTACTAATCTTGGCAGTTTGTAATGGAGTGAGGACTAGGGAGTTGAGACAGGTGATGGACAGGTGTTGATGGGTTGAGACAGGTGTGGGTGATGGGTTGAGACAGGTGACAGACAGGTGAAGGAGAGGGAAGGAGGCATAAGGAGATAGATCTCACTTCCTCGAATATATAGACAGGAAACTCTTCATAGGTAAGAGCTACCATCCCCTCGTCACTATCACCACCATCACCATCACTACCACCACCACCATCACCACCACCATCACCACCACCACCATCATCACCACCATCTTCCACCTCCGCCCAGGCAAGCTCCATTCACGCCCATCAAAATTAAATCGCTAATTCGGTTCCAATTCGCGAGACATAATTGGCGCAATTTGGCGAGCGCTGCGGGTCACTAAGCCGGGAAGTAATGATCCAGGGACGCAATATTTGCGTAATTATCTCCTCTTGACGCAGCTGGTGCGTCCATAACGCATTTTATATGATGTGATGAGAGTGGGGATTTTGCCCCGTTCTTGATATTAATTCTTTTATACAGGCGTTGGATGGTGAGATATATATGATAGTTTGGGGTTAAAATCAGGTATAGGTTGTTAGCGGTTGTTAGCGGTGATGGATAGTGTCGGGAGGGAGTGAGGGAGGGGAGAGAGAAGGGGTGAGAGGCAGAGGGAGAGAGGGAAGCAGAAAGGAGAGTTTGAAGGGCAAAATAATTCGAGATATATATTTACGGGCTCGCCATAGCCCGTGCTACATGGACACTTCGTTCTGAGTAGCTAAATCTAAAACAACAACAACAACATTCGAGATATCTATCTATCTAGCTCTATCTATTAATCCAACAAACTTTGTAAAATCTCTTGTATGTATGTACCTTACCTAAATAAACATTTATTTATTTATTTATTTATTTATTTATTTATTTAGAGATATTAATGACGATGCTGAAGCCAGCTAACGCGCCAACCAAAAATTTCTGCACCTTTCATATGCCTAGAAACTCATATTAACATACTAGAAACCTGTCTGTTTGTTTCTATTCCCCCTCCCTCCTTCCTTTCTCACTCTCCACCCTCACCCTCCCTTCCTTCTCTCTCTCTCTCTCTGCCCCCCCTCTCTCTCTCTCTCTACCTTTCCGCCTCTCTTTCTTCCTCTTCTGCTATATCACTATGCTGTGCACTATAAGAACGCTTGTCACAATCCATATAGTCTAAGGGAAAACCTATATCATTTCTATAAACCTATATAAGTTCTAGGTCTTAGAGGGTTAGAATTATTAACATTTTCTAATTTTGGCATGATCAGCACATATTGTTTACGAAATGGCCCAAAATATTATTATTATTATTATTAAATAATAATAATGAATCAAGTCATTGTGGGTTTATATACATATTTCGTTAGAATCCCATTGGCATAATTCCACTTGGCACTTTTTGGATAGGATAGATATCCTGATCCACCCATGTTGGGCACGTCCCCAACAGCAATATCTGGCAGAAGGTAGATCCAAACATCTGGCCTCCGTCAACACACTGTCAAACAGACATTGGCGTTGATGGATTTAGCTATTTTGACAGACGAGAAGCGGAAGGTTCTCTCCCTACTCTTCTGTCCTGTCCCCTCACGCCCCCAGCAGGAATAAGATCATTAGAGCACTATGGCGAATTAGAACACGTGGTGGAGAACATTATAGAAATGATTAAACCTTATATTTCAACTACACTTTCATATAACTACTACTTCTACCACTACTACTACTACTACTACTACTACTACTACTACTACTACCACAACAACCACCACTAAGGGACCGGGGCAGCCAAGATACCACACGTGCTGGCCCAACGGGTGTGTGAATTACGGATTAGTTGAGTTAGTGTGAGGTTAGTTGAGTTAGTGTGAGGTTAGTTGAGTTAGTGTGAGGTTAGTTGAGTTAGTGTGAGGTTAGTTGAGTTAGTGTGAGGTTAGTTGAGTTAGTGTGAGGTTAGTTGAGTTAGTGTGAGGTTAGTTGAGTTAGTGTGAGGTTAGTTGAGTTAGTGTGAGGTTAGTTGAGTTAGTGTGAGGTTAGTTGAGTTAGTGTGAGGTTAGTTGAGTTAGTGTGAGGTTAGTTGAGTTAGTGTGAGGTTAGTTGAGTTAGTGTGAGGTTAGTTGAGTTAGTGTGAGGTTAGTTGAGTTAGTGTGAGGTTAGTTGAGTTAGTGTGAGGTTAGTTGAGTTAAGACCATTAGTGTCTCCTTACTCGTGATCTGCTCAGGGTTAATCCACGAGCTTGTTCAACATTAACCAATTTAACCAACTTTGGGACAACCAGCTTTGGGACAACCAGCTTTGGGACAACCAGCTTTGGGACACCCAGCTTTGGAACAACCGGCTTTGGGACAACCAGCTTTGGAACAACCAGTTTTGGACCAACCAGCTTTGGAACAATCAGCTTTGGAACAACCAACTTTGGAACAACCAGCTTTGGAACAACCAGCTTTGGAACAACCAGCTTTGGAACAACCAGCTTTGGAACAACCAGCTTTGGAACAATCAGCTTTGGAACAACCAGTTTTGGAACAACCAGCTTTGGAACAACCAACTTTGGAACAACCAGCTTTGGAACAACCAGCTTTGGAACAACCAGTTTTGGAACAACCAGTTTTGGAACAACCAGCTTTGGAACAATCAGCTTTGGAACAACCAACTTTGGAACAACCAGCTTTGGAACAACCAGCTTTGGAACAACCAGCTTTGGAACAACCAGTTTTGGAACAACCAGTTTTGGAACAACCAGCTTTGGAACAACCAGCTTTGGAACAATCAGCTTTGGGACAACCAGCTTTGGGACACCCAGCTTTGGAACAACCAGTTTTGGAACAACCAGCTTTGGAACAACCAACTTTGGAACAACCAGCTTTGGAACAACCAGCTTTGGAACAACCGGCTTTGGGACAACCAGCTTTGGAACAACCAGCTTTGGAACAACCAGCTTTGGGACAACCAGCTTTGGGACAACCAGCTTTGGAACAACCAGCTTTGGAACAACCAGCTTTGGAACAACCAGTTTTGGAACAACCAGCTTTGGAACAATCAGCTTTGGAACAACCAGCTTTGGAACAACCAGCTTTGGAACAACCAGCTTTGGAACAATCAGCTTTGGAACAATCAGCTTTGGAACAACCAGGCTGGAGAGTGTTTCTCTATAAAGAATATGTATAACGATTAGTTCAGTGAGCATCCACAAGGTCTTCTTTGAGTACTCTTTATTTTCTTCTCCGAGGCTATGGGTCCCTACACGTGCACCAGAAGTAATGAATAGTTGTAAAAGATAGCTAAAGTGCTTTCTTCTTGAGGTTATCTTGAGTTATCTTGAGATGATTTCGGGGCTTTAGTGTCCCCGCGGCCCGGTCCTCGACCAGGCCTCCACCCCCAGGAAGCAGCCCGTGACAGCTGACTAACTCCCAGGTACCTATTTACTGCTAGGTAACAGGGGCATTCAGGGTGAAAGAAACTTTGCCCATTTGTTTCTGCCTCGTGCGGGAATCGAGCCCGCGCCACAGAATTACGAGTCCTGCGCGCTATCCACCAGGCTACGAGGCCACTTCTGTTGCTTTCCCCCATCAGGAGAAAGCAGTAACCCCATTACGACTATATAGCACTTGTGAGGGCTATGAGGATAAGGATTTGGGATGGGACGGGGGAAAGGAATGGTGCCCAACCACTTTGGGACGATCGGGGATTGAACGCCGACCTGCATGAAGCGAGACCGTCGCTCTACCGTCCAGCCCAAGTGAGTCATGTTTCAGTTTCTTCACTACTTCATGGTCAACTCCTGGTTGGTGAGCAAAATTGTTTTGCACATTTAGAACTCTTAGTAATAAACTGTAGATAATTCAGCATTCTAAAATATGAATTTAAACTGTACCACTTAGTATTAAGCGAGATATATCATATGACTTGGGTTTAAGGCGAACGTCTACGGGCTCACCATAGCCCGTGCTACTTGTTCCAAGTAGCGAATCTTAAACAACAACAACAACAACAGTAAGGCAAGGCAAGGCAATTATCAGGGGAAAGCGCCAAGCAATTACGACTATATAGCACTTGGAAGGAGTAAGGATTAGGATTTGGGATGGGACGGAGGAAAGGAATGGTGTCCAACCGCTTGGACGGTCGGGGATTGAACGCCGACCTGCATGAAGCGAGACCGTCGCTCAACCGTCCAGCCCAAGTGGTTGGCACACAACAACAGTAAGATGAAGGGAAGACAGATTCTTCAATCAGAAAAGGAGAAAAACCTGAGAGTGGACATAACTGTAAATCTAACTCCAGAGGCTCTTAAAATAGACTAATTTCATCTGCCTACTCCACACTAGCAAATGTTAGAAGAAGGTAAATAAGTAGGCTATTAGATCGCTGAACAGTATATGTGAGACCAGTTTTAGAGTACGCCGGCCCATCATGGAACCCCATCTTAAAGATCACACAAAGAAATTCGAAAAGGTTTATAAGTTTGCAATAAGACTTGTTCCAGAGCTGCGAGGGATGAGGTATGAAGAAAAACTTAAAGAACTAAACCTGACGACGCTAGAAAGGACAGAGGGGAGACATGATAGAGACATATAAAATACTTTGCGGATTGACATGGAAAAAATTAAATGTTCTCAATGAATACCATTAGAACAATAGGGCGTGGATGAAAGCTCGAGAATCATATGAGTGAAAGAGATGTTATACAATTTTCTTTTAGCGTAGGAACATTGGATGGAATGAACTAGAAGAGCAGGTTGTGGAGCCAAACTTTACTCCTAACTTTAAAAATAGTTAGAATATGGAAAAAAGTTAGGTGTCATTCCATTAGCCAACCGGAGGCTAGAAAAGCAGGGTCCAAGAGCTAGTACTTGATCCTCTAGGCTCTAATAAATGCATACACACACACACACAAGTTATAAAAGAGGGGATCTGGTAGCTAAGTGGACAGCGCGCGGGACTTTTTAATCCTGTGGCCCGGGTTCGATTCCCGGCGCCGGCAGAGACAAATGGGAAGAGTTTCTTTTACCCTGATGCCCTGTTGCCTAGTAGTAAATAGATACCTGGGAGTTAGACAGCTGCTACGGGCTGCTTCCTCTGTGTGTGTGTGTGGAAAAAAAATTAGTTAGTTAGTATCACTTGATTGACAGCTGAGAGGCGGACCGAAAGAACAGAGCACAACCCCCTCAAGCACAACTAGGTGAATACAACTAGGTGAATACTACTAGATGAATACAACTAGGTGAATACAACTAGATGAATACAACTAGGTGAATACAACTAGGTGAATACAACTAGGTGAATACAACTAGGTGAATACAACTAGGCGAATACAACTAGGTGAACACACACACACACACGCGGCTCCGCCCCATAATAAAATATGGATATACTAAAAATCCAGAATATTTTTCCTTCCTCACAGAGAATGGAATTAATTTCGGTAAAAATATTTTCGCATGTAAGCAGCGCTTAAGTCGGTTATCATAGTAAATAATAATTTATGCTACCAGCGTGTGTCGAAAAAATTTGTAGAGAAAAAACCTGGTAACATTTTGATAAGGGGCGCCAGAGTACGCTATAAAGAGCAAATATACTCCTTTTCTTTATGAAAACTTCCAGTAAACCACAAAATTTCTGGAAAGGTGGGAATTTTCACGTATTTCCACTCTTTAACATGTGCTTTGATGGTAGGGTCAAGCAACAGCTCTCGGGCTCCGCCTTTCAAATAATTTGAAGGTTAGTCTGAAAGAGTTCTATTTTTTGTATTATATTAAGCTTTAAAATTGTGTACAGCCATTTAAACCATCTATATATATATATATATATATATATATATATATATATATATATATATATATATATAGATGGAAATACCTAGAAGGAGTACCACCTCTGGTGCAAATCTAGGGACCCATAGCCTCGGAGAAAAAAAATAAAGAGTACTCAGAGAAGACCTTGTGGATCCTCACTGAGCACTTTGGTATATAATATATATATTTAATATATTATATATAATTATAATACACTTATAATATATAATATATATGTATATTTAGTCTCCAGCCAGGCTTCATCCTTCTATGTGTGTGTGTGTGTGTGTGTGTAATATTTGTGCCTATAGGATAGAACTCAGTCCCGTCAACTCAGGTACAAGGCCCGGTGCATATCTTTGCACGTTTTCTAGTGTCTCCTCCTAAACTATACTTTTGTCATCATCAAATTTGGGAAGAATTTAGTCAATTTACTCGTGGAAGAATTTACATTTGCACACTCCAGGAATATGATACGTGGCAACATTTGGTGGGTGTATTAACCTCAATGTAAAGAACTATATAAATTGTTGCTTAGCTGGAGCTTGAATGTGCAGAACAGCTTTGGTTATAATATTTAGGGTTTCAGTTCTGCAATATTCACCACTGCTTTGTTGCTGCGACTCTTATAGTGGTCATGTCTTCTTTGTTGTAAAAGTTCGTCACGATATATATAATTCATCTTTCTTCCGTTTCCTTCTTTTCCTTTCCCTCTACTTTCTCTCAGCTTTCCCTACTAATTTACACTTTCTCCATATTTTTTCCGCAAAAACTAACTTTAATATCACTTTCCTCATAAACATAATTATTTCCACCTCACTGTACCTGAGAGAATCTACTTTACCCCACTGACTTTCACTACTTTCTCTTCACTTTCTCCACCAACATCTCTCTTTCTCTTATCTCCTGGTGACCTCGGAGGCTGTTTGACCCACTATCTCGCTCACAGCCAATTCTCCTTCTCTCGGCTTCTCTTCACACTTGTGTGACGCCTCCGTCTCCTCTCACAGTAGTCCATTTAGACAGATAATATTAATGAAAAACCTTGCAAAATATGCTAAGAAAAACATGAATAATGAAGAGACCAAGTCACAATAATCTGGGTGGTTAATAATAATATGGAAAATAATGTATAATCTAGGTAATTCAGTGCTTAATAAAGTATTTTGGGAGAGCGGATTGTCCATTGATGACAACGACTCGTGATAATCGAATCTAATGCCACTCTCACTAGTGGTAAATATGGCATCCAATGCTATAACGAAGTTATGATTTATTTCTGCTCAATGGTTCCGTCCTTGAGTTCTGTTCTCTCTTAGAATTCCCTTCACTTTCCAACCCTGGAATACAAATTGGCTTCACTATATGTAAACAAATATTCACTACCGTTTTCACGAGATGAAAGGTTGATGTTGTTACAAACGCGAGTGGGTGTGTGATGTCAGACTCCAGTCTTGCAGTCAAGGGTGTGTGGGTGACCCCAGACTCCAGACTTGCAGTCAAGGGTGTGTGGGGGACCCCAGACTCCAGTCTTGCAGTCAAGGGTGTGTGGGGGACCCCAGACTCCAGTCTTGCAGTCAAGGGTGTGTGGGGGACCCCAGACTTCAGTCTTGCAGTCAAGGGTGTGTGGGGGACCCCAGACTCCAGTCTTGCAGTCAAGGGTGTGTGGGGGGCCCCAGACATCAGTCTTGCAGTCAAGGGTGTGTGGGGGACCCCAGACTCCAGTCTTGCAGTCAAGGGTGTGTGGGGGGCCCCAGACTTCAGTCTTGCAGTCAAGGGTGTGTGGGGGACCCCAGACTTCAGTCTTGCAGTCAAGGGTGTGTGGGGGACCCCAGACTTCAGTCTTGCAGTCAAGGGTGTGTGGGGGACCCCAGACTTCAGTCTTGCAGTCAAGGGTGTGTGGGTCACCTCAGACTTCAGCCTTGCAGCCATTGGCCTGGTTCAAACACCCACTTCGAATGTTATCGTGTGGTTATGACTGATTTACAACATCAAGTATAACTATATGTAATTGTAGAAATTTGTCAATAGTAATTTCACATATGAAAAATATATATAGACCACGAGACTCCCGCCTCTCCTCTTGTTATGTGTTCAACAGTGAACAACCGCCTTGTTCTCACTGTCATTCACAACAATTATAACTATCCTTACAACTTTTCCGGAATAGGCAGCTACCAGTCTCCAACCACCAACCACCAGCCACCAGCCACCAGCGTCAACACCACCGAGGGCTGACAGTCTAACTGGGCCAATTAGTCACCAACCAGTTGAGGTATGAGCTTTCAACCGGTTGGTCTCTGGGGACCATAAAGGACAGGTTAAAAGTAACTTGAAAAAAAATATCGTTCAATTAATAGATTCCCTTTCATCTCT